TAATATATTTAATATATTATTAAGTTTAAGATATTTTTTTTTTAAGTTATTAAAGTTATTAATTAATAATCTCTTTATAACTTTATATTTAGCTTTATTAATATAAAAAAAAAAGAAAGCTATAATTAACTTTATAAATAACTTAATTTTATTAAAGCTTAAATTAAAGCTTTAATTTTTAATATTATTATTATCGATAAAGAAGATATTCTTAAAGCTATATTAAAAACTTATTTTTTATTTATTTAATAATAGCTATATATCTTTTATATTAATATTAATATATAAATTAAGATTTATTTATAATAATTTAACTTAAATAAAGTAAATAATATTAATATTAATAAAGAGCCTATAAATAACCTTAAAGATCTTATTAAAAGTAAATATTTTTTTACCTTTTTAATAAATAATAATAACTTTAATAATAATCTTTTAATATTATTAATATTAAATATAATATTATTATAATTAATTATTAACCTTAAATAAATATATAATAATATATTTAATACTTAAAAGTATATTATTTTTATAAAAATAAAAATAGATTTTAAGAAAGCTTAATAAATAATAATTATTATTTATTTATTATATTAATAATTTATTTTATAATATCTTATTAAAGAATATATATTTATTAAGTAATAATAAACTAAATATTTTATTAATTAATATTATAATTATAATTAATAAATTAATAACTTTATAGAAAGCTCTTATAAAAGCTTAAAATCTTATTTTTTAATTAATATAAAAGATCTACTTTATTTTTATTATATTATTAAAGAGATAGTTAATACTTAAGAATAGTAATATATTAAATAAGTTATTAAAATAATAATAAAGCTTTAAGAGAAATATATTATTTAAGATTAATTTAATAATATTAATTTAATTATTTTATATTAAATTATTAAGCTTTTATTATATTAATATTAATTAATTATATTATCTTTATTAATAATATAATAGCTAAACTTACTTTTATTTTTATTTTATATAAGAAACTTTATTAATTAATATACTTTTTTATATAATTATATTATCTTTTACTATCTCTTTAAGAAAAAAGCATTAAATAAAAAAGATTACTACTTTTATTAATAGCTATAGAAACCCTTAGATATAAAAGAGCTATTTCTTTATATTTAAAATCTAATAATAATTTAAAGTTTATATAATTAGCTTTAATAAGCTTAAAATAAAATAATTCTTTTTTTTTTAATTCTTAAAATACTATAAGATAAATTAAGTTAAGTCTAACTTTATTTAAGGTATTAAAAGCCTTAAATAAAAAGATAGATATAAAAGAAATAAAAGAAATAATATTAAAGTTAGCTTTATAAATAGACTTTTAAGCTATAAAAAAAAGGCTTATTAAACTTAATAATAATAATAATTATAAAGAAATAGCTAATAACTTTAAACTTAATTATAAAAGAAAATACTTTAAAGGAAGTAATTAAGTCGAAATACTTTTTAAGGTATTACTTAACTTAATACTAGCTTTTATTATAATTTATTTTAATAAGAGATTAATAAGCTTTAATATAAAACTATAAGTAAAGGACTTTTATAGCTATAAATAATTAAGAGGATTAAGAATTAATATAATATATTACTTAATAACTTTTCTTATTAACTAGACTTTATTACTTTTAATATAGCTTAGCGTTTATTTAAAGGTAATATATAAAATAAGATTATTATTAATATATTATTATTAGCTAATTTTTTAACTTTAAGTATAGAGGACTTAATAGCTATAAAGAGCGTTATAAGTATTAAGGATTTAGTTATAGTTATAAAAGACTTAAATAAAGTAAAAGATATAAAGTTAAAGATATAAAGTAATAAATTAAGCTTATTTTCTTACTCTTTTTATAGTATTAAGTATAATAATTATAATATTTCTCTTTCTATAGTATTAATTATAATAACTATAATACCTCTCTTTTTATAGTATTAGCTATAACGAGCTTAAATACCTCTTTTTCTATAGTACTAGCTATAATAACTATAATACCTCTCTTTTTATAGTATTAACTATAATAAGCTTAAATATCTCTTTTTCTATAGTATTAACTATAACGACTATAATACCTCTCTTTTTATAGTATTAACTATAACGAGCTTAAATACCTCTTTTTCTATAGTATTAATTATAACGACTATAATACCTCTCTTTTTACGGTACTAGCTATAACGAGCCTAAATACCTCTCTTTTTACGGTATTAACTATAATAACTATAATACCTCTCTTTTTATATTACTAGCCGTAACGAGTATAAATATCTCTCTTTTTATAGCATTAGCTATAATAAATACCTTTCTTTTTACGGTATTAATTATAACGCTTATAAAGGCACCTCTTTCTATAGCACTAGCTATAATAAGTATAAATACCTCTCTTTTTATAGCACTAGCTATAACGCCTATAAAGGTACCTCTTTCTATAGTACTAGCTATAACGAGCCTAAATACCTCTCTTTTTACGGCACTAGCTATAATAAGCCTAAATACCTCTCTTTTTATAGTACTAGCTATAACGACTATAATACCTCTCTTTTTATAGTACCGGCTATAATAACTATAATACCTCTCTTTCTAAAGCACTAGCTATAACGAGCTTAAATACCTCTATTTTTATAGCACTAGCTATAACGCCTATAAAGGCACCTCTTTCTATAGTACTAGCTATAACGCCTATAAAGGCACCTCTTTNACTAGCTATAACGCCTATAAAGGCACCTCTTTCTATAGTACTAGCTATAACGCCTATAAAGGCACCTCTTTTTATAGCTCTAGCTATAATGACTATAATACCTATCTTTTATTAGTATTTAATATAAACCTATAATAGACCTCCTTTTACGATCTATATTACCTCTTATACTACCGTTAGTATAGGCCCTTTATTATAGTATTAAGACTGTTTAATGGGTCTATAGCGTTATATATAATTTTAGTTATAGGGCCTAGCCGTAGTAAATAGGGGTCGAAATAGACTTATATAAAAATAGAGAAATGCGTATATAAAAATAAGGATACTTATCTTCTATCCTCTCTAGACTAGGAGGGAAAGGTCCTATATATAATTAAAAAGACCCGGCCTTTAGTCTAATAGTCTCTCCGTCGGTCTAATACTAGCCTATATAGCTGAAAAGGGCTGAATTCAGCTCTATTTAGCGTGGCTATAGCTAAATTCAGCTATATTCAGCGTAGCTATAGCTAAATTCAGCTATATTTAGCTTAATTTAGCGTAGCTATAGCTAAATATAGCTAAATATAGCTCTATATAGCGTGGCTAACCTTATACTAGACTAAAGACCCTAAGTCTAGCTAAAAATAGTAAAATTCGGTCTAATAGACTATCTAGCAGTATAATATACTGCCCCGCTAGTCTAATAGACTATCCGCTATAATAAAGTTTCTAGATAAACTAGATAAATATTTATCTATATAGACTTTATAATAGTATATTTTTTATCTATTTCTATATAGCTTATATAGCTATATACTTACTATATTTTATATTTTAATAGTATAAGAGGCTCTTTTAGACCTTCTTATTATACCTAGAAGTAATGTTTTCTAAATAAATAGCTATATAATATATATATATATATATTTATATAATATATTATATAGTATATTTATATATATTATATAGGAAAATATTTTTTATATCTTTCTATATAGTCTATATAGCTATATATTAAATCTGTCTCTTATACACATCTAGATGTGTATAAGAGACAGGTTTTATATATTATATATATATATATTTATATATATTATATATATATATATTTATATAATATATTATATAGTATATTTATATAATATATTATATAGTATATTTATATAATATATTATATAGTATATTTATATAATATATTATATAGTATATTTATATATATTATATAGGAAAATATTTTTTATATCTTTCTCTATAGTCTATATAGCTATATATTAAATATTTTATATAAACTAAGAAATATATTATTAATAAAGTAGAAGACTTAAATAAGCTAGACGCTATAGTTTAATTTAAGGTCTTATATACCCTCTTAGAGCCTAAGATATAAAGTATAGAGGTATTTTAAAGAGAAAGAGGGATTAATAATAAAAGAGACTTTAAGAACTTCTTTTATACTTTAAATAGATCTTTAATAATATAAAAAAAGAAAGTATAAGATAGGCTATAAGTCTTTATATAAAAAGATAAGTAAAGGTTTAAAGACTTTATTTTAGACTTTAAGAATATTTTTATAATTATAAATAGCTTTTCTTAAGATAATATTATAAAGTATATTTAACTATAAAACTCTTTTTCTTTTATATTTAAGGAATAGCTTATTATAATTATATTAAAACCTAACTTTTATAACTTTATTTAATAGCTATATATTATTATAGCTAACTTTAAAGTAATTAATTAATTTAAGGAATTTAAGAAAAAGTAATATTAATATTTAATTAATTAATAAGCTATTTTCTATAAAATAAAGAAAATAAAGCCTAAAAGTAAAAAAAAGGCTTTATAAATAATACTTATTATAGACTATAAAAAAGATACCTTTATAACCTTTATTTATATTATAAGCTATAGCTTTAGACTTAAGAAAATAAGGACTTAAAGGAATATTCCTTTAAATATAAATAAGTAAATTAAATAAATATTTACTAAAGAGAGGAATAAATAATATAAATAAAAGCATTATTTATATTATAAAAGGAGTAAATACTTAATTTATAATTATCTTTATATTTTTACTTATTAATTAAAGAAAAATAAAATAATCTTAATAAATTATATAAAGTTCGAATTAAAACTTAAAGATAATTATAATATAGAGAGTAAAACTAAAAATATAAAGTCTATTTAAAGAAATATATTACTTTAAAGTAAAGTTATACTTTAAAGCTATAAAAGGTATTATTATAAAAAAAGAAGCTATAAAAATACTTTAAAATAGACTTATTATTAATTTTAATCTTAATTAATAAAGGTCTTTTATAGATTATATTTATATATAAAGGGTATTACTATTATATAATAATAAGTAAAGAGATTATTTAAGACTTTAAATTATTATTAAAAAGGATTTACTTTTATAAAGTAAAGGGGGTCTTTAATATTATAATAAAAATAGCGATTAAAGGTTTAATATAATTAATTATAGATATTAATAAGACCTTTTAGTTAATATATATTTATATAATATTTAAGTTTAAATTCTTTTTAATCTTAAAGAAACTTTAACTTTAATATATAAAGTTATACTTTATTTTATATAAAAAGAAGCTATAATATAGCCCTTTATAAATATAAATATAGTATATATATAGCTTATATTTAAGAAATAGCTTTATAAAGGATATTAAGAATATATAATATATTATTATTATAACTTTTATAGGTTATATAAAAAAGATCTATAAAAAAGAAAGCTATAATATAATTAAGGCTATAATTTTTATTATTAATTTAAGAAATATTAAAAAAGCCTTATCCTTAAAGTAATTTAAGTTTAAATAAAAGCTTTTATATATAATCCTTTTATATTTTTATAACTTATTTTTATTTTTTATAAAATAAAAAGTAAATAAACTTAATTTATATAAATTTAATATTAATTATTAAATCCCCTTTAAAAAAAGGCTTAATAAATAAGACTTATTTATATTATATAAAGTATTATATAGAATATTATAAAAAAAGCTCTTAATATTATAAAAAATAGTTAATAACTTTTTAAATAAAGGGTTTATTTAAGTAAATAACTTAAAGGAATAATATTAATCTTATTTATATAAAAATTAAAAAATAAACTTTATTTTTATTATAATTATAAAGCTTTTAATATAATTATAAAAGTAAATTATTATTTAATTTTATTTATTAATAATACTTTTTATAATTTAATAAAAGCTTATTAATTTATTAAGCTAAATATAATATAAATATTCTATAAAGTATAAATTATACTTAAAGAAAAATAGAAAATAATATTTTATATTAAATATAAGCTCTTTAAATAAATAATTATATTATTTAATTTAAATAATATATTTATTACTTTTTAATATTATATTAATAATATTTTATAAAAATTATTTAATAACTTTTATTTTATTTATATAAATAATATATTAATTTATATAAATAAGTTACTTAAAGAATATTATATAAAAATATAATAAATCTTAAAGTAACTTTAAGAATCTAGCCTTTATTTAAACTTAAATAAGTATAAGTTTAAAGTTAAGACTATAAAATATCTTAAGTTTATTATTTATATAAAATATAATATTAAAATAAATTTTATTAAAATAAATATAATAATTAAATAATTTACTTTAATAATATAAAAAAAGTATAAAGTTTCTTAAAGTTTATTAATTAATATTAAATATTTATATTTAATTTCTTAAAAATAATTACTTTTTTAAAATCTTTAATAAAAAAAGCTTTATTTATATAAAAGTAAAAATATTAATTTACTTTTTAAGTATTTAAGTAATTATTTAAGTATTAATTTTAAATTAATAAGATTTAAATTTATTTACTTTCTTAAAAGTAAATTATAATAATATTATATTTAATAATATATTTATATAAAAAATTAATAAAAAAAAAGAAATTAATTATTTTTTATTTATAAAAGCCTTTATTTATAAAATAAAATTACTTTATTTATAATAAAGAGATATTAATAATAATTTATTATTTAAAATAATAAGATATAAAGCTTTATTATTATATAAGCTTTACGATCTTTATAGACTATAAGAACTTTATATACTTTATAATATAATAATAATTATTAAAGTAATAAATATATTAAATATAATTATTTTTATATTTTTATTTTTTTAATTTATAAATTAAAAAGGTTAATAATAATCTTTGATATATTATTAAAAAAAAATTAAAACTAAAAGATAAAAAAAGACTAAAAAGCTTAAGATTTATAGCTTTTCTTAAAAAGTACCTTTTATATTTATATATAAAAGATATAATTAAAAATAAATAGCTTAAAAGATATATTAATAAACTTTAAGCTTTATTTTTTATAAGAATAAAAAATATAATAAAATATTATTTATTAAAGTATATATTATTTAATAAAGAATAATATTTATATATTAAACTTAAAGCTTAAATTAAAGGTATAAATAATAAAGTAAAGTATAAATAAAAAGTATTTCTTTTTCTAAGACTATTTTTAAATATTTAAGGCTTTTTTTACTTTAAAGGCTAAAATAAAAGCTATTTTTATAAAAGTAAAAAGACTTAATAAGCTATAAAAGAGGCTTATTTAATAAATTTATAATTTATTTATAATTATATATTTAAATAAAGAAAGTATTATAGCTTTAATAATAAAGGAGTTTTATTAATTCTTTTTATAATAATATATTAAAAAGTTCCTTTATAACTATAATATTTATAATTATATTAAGATTTAATAAAAATATTAAAAAAAGCTATTTAAGCTTTTATTTATATTAAAATAATTCTATCGTTAAATATATATAGACTTTATTATAAACCTTTTTTTAATATATAAAAGCTACTTCCTTTAAGTTATAAAAGATAAATTAAATAAAGAAATAATCTTTAAGCCTATATTATCTATAAATATAAAAGCTTATATAAAGCGCTTTTTAAAATATTATATTTATTTTTATAAATAATTAATAATAATAATAATAAATAAAGGCTTTAATTAAATAAATAAGTTTTAATAATATTTATATAAATTAATTAATATAAAATAATAACTTAAAATAATATATTATTCTTAAATAAATAAAGGTATAAAGAAAATTAATTAAGAGGTATAAATATACTTTAAGGTATATATTAATTATAATTAAGATAATTAAGATTAATAGCTCTTTATAGCTTAATTTATATTAAACTTAAGGATTTCTATTTTTATTAAGATATCTCTTTTTTTCGCTTTATATAATTTCTATTTATAATTAATAATATTAACTCTTATTCTTTTATAAATAATAAATAGCGATAAAATAACTTTAAAGTAAAGAATAAAAGTATTTATAATAAAGATTAAATAAATTATAGACTTTTATAAAGAGTAGTCTTATTTTTATATACGTATTTCTCTATTTTTATATACGTTATATAGCTAAGACTAGGCTATAGTACTATACTATTAGGCTCTTAGCCCGGTAGCCTATAATAGCTTTAATTACTTATTATAGCCTAATAGCTTACGATACCTTTAATTACGCTATTATAGCCTAATAGCCTACGATACCTTTAATTACGCTACTATAGCCTAATAGCCCGCGATACCTTTAATTATACTATAGCCTATATAGCCTAATAGCCCGCGATAGCTTTTATTACGCTATAGCCCGTATAGCTTAATAGCCCGCGATAGCTTTAATTGCTTACTATAGCTTAGTAACCTATAATAGCTTTAATTACTTATTATAGCCCGGTAGCCTATAATACCTTTAGTTATTATAGCGGGCTATATATATAAGCTACTAAAATAATACTATAATACCTTAATAAGCCTATTTTTAGCGCTTATAATAAAGGCTCTTAATAACTATATAGGCCTTAATAATAAAGTTATATAAAAATAGAGAAATATATATATAAAAATAAGACTACTTTAATTATATATATTATAATACCTTTAATTACTTATTATAGCTTATATAGCCTATAGGCTATAATACCTTTAATTATTAATATAGCTATATAAGCTATAATACCTTTAATTACTTATTATAATTATATATATTATAATACCTTTAATTACTTATTATAGCTTATATAGCCTATAAGCTATAATACCTTTAATTATTAATATAGTTATATAAGCTATAATACCTTTAATTATCTTTATAGCTATATAAGCTATAATACCTTTAATTACTTATTATAGCTTATATAACTATATTAATAATTAAAGGTATTATAGCTTATAAGCTATAATACCTTTAAGTACTATAAGGGGCTATAAGCTATATATATAAGCTATTAAAATAATATTATAATACTTTAATATACTTATTTTTAGCGCTTATAGTAAAAGCTCTTAATAATTATAAAGGCCTTAATAATAAAGTTATATAAAAATAAAGAAATATATATATAAAAATAAAGATACTTTATTCTTTAATAAAATATTATAGGATTAATTATTAATATAATAAATATATAATAATTATTATTTATTAAGCTTTCTTAAAATTAAATTCTATTTTTATAAAAATAATATATTTTTAAGTATTAAATATATTATTATATATTTATTTAAGATTAATTATTAACTATAATAATATCTTTAATATTAATAATATTAAGAAGTTATTATTATTAAAATTAATATTATTTATTAAAAAGGTAAAAAAATATCTTTATTTAGCTAAATTTTCTATATTAATTAAAGGCTTATTATTAATATTAATATTATTTACCTTTAAGTTAAATTATTATAAGTAAATCTTAGTTTATATATTAATATTAATATAAAAGATATATAATTATTATTAAATATATAAAAATTAAGCCTTTAATATAATTTTTAAGGTATCTTTTTTATTAATAATAATAATATTAAGAGTTAAGGTATTAATTTAAGCTTTAATAAAGTTAAGTTATTTATAGAGTTAATTATAGCCTTCCTTTTTCTCTATATTAATTAAGCTAAATATAAAGTTATAAAGTAATTATTAATTAATAACTTTAATTACTTAAAAGAGAAATATTTTAAACTTAATAATATATTAAATATATTAAATAATATTAATATTAATAATTAAATCTATTTATTTAATATATATTATTAAGACTAAAAACCTTTAGAAACCTCTTTTATATAACTTTATATTAAAGATAAATCTAAAAGAGCTTTTTAATATAATTCTTATTATTAAATAATAAGATATACTTTACGTTATTATTATAAAAGATCTAAATAAATATTTATATTAATATTAAACCCTTAAATAAAATAATTTTAATACTTTAGTAATTATTATATATATCTTTAATATAAAAGAAATATTAATTTAAATTAAATTATTATTAAAGTAATATATCTATTTTATAAGTTTATATTATTTAATTTTTTAAGATTATAATTTAAATCCCTTTTTAAATATTAATTTAATAATAATAAATATTATATATTAATAGATAAAGAAATAAGCTATAATTATATTAAGTATAAGTTAAGTAATATAATTATTTTTAATTTATTTTAACTTTTATTTTTATAATTAAAAAATAAAAATAATTAATTTATTAAAAAGTAATATTCTTTATATTAATATTTATTAAAGCTTTCTTTATATTATAGTTATATTTAAAGATTATATATATTAATAAAACCTTACCTTTAAAGCTATAATTATTTAAATTTAAATATTAAATAATATTAATATTAATTTTATAATAAAACTTTTATATATATATATAAAGCTTATTAAAGGATCTATAAAGGGCTAAAAGTAATAAAAATAGAATCTTAGCTATAATATAACTTATTTTATCTTTTCTTTAAGAAAGAACTTAAAAAAGAATATAAAAAAAGCTTTAAAAAGAATATAAAAAAAAGCTTAAAAAAGACTTTATTTTTTATTAAATATAAATTTATTAAAAATAAATTTATTAAAGATAATCTTATTAAAAGTAAGTTTATTAAAGATAAATTAGCTAAAAGTAAGTTAATTAAAGGTAAGTTAACTAAAAGTAAATTAATTAAAAGTAAATTAATTAAAAGTAAGCTTATTAAAGATAGGCTTATTAAAAATAAATTTATTAAAGGTAAGTTTATTAAAAATAAGTTTATTAAATATAAATATATTAAAGTTAAATATCTTAAAGGTAATTTCTTTATTAAAATTAAATACTTTAAAAATAAATTCTTTATTAAAGAAAGGCTTATTAATAATAAATTTATTAATTAAAGTAATTCTATTATTAAAAGAAAGTCTTTAATTAATATTACTTTTTTATAAAATATCTATATATTTCTTACTTTAATATATTATATTAAGAATATTAAGAAATTTATCTTTAATTAATAAGTTTATTAAAATATTTAAAAGGTTTATTAAATTAATTATTAAAGTTAATAAGTTAAGAATATTTATTAAATCGATTAATAACTTAAGAATCTTAATAAAATTAATAACTTTAATATTTAATATATTAATAAAAAGAGTTATTATAGTAATTCTTAAAGTAAAAAAATATATAATAATAAATAATTAAGGTTTAATAAAGTAATTATAGTCTTTTATAATAATTAAAAGTAAAGAGAAAAAAGCTTAATAAAAAACCTAAGAATTATAATTATATCTTTATATATCTTTTATTTATAGAGTAGTCTTATTTTTATATAGGTATTTCTCTATTTTTATATAACTCTATTATTAAGGCCCGTATAGCTATTAAGAGCCCTTATTATAAGCGCTAAAAATAGGCCTGCCGGGGTGCTATAATATTATTTTAGCGGCTTATATATATAGCCCGTAGTAGTAACTAAAGGCATGGCGGGCTGCCGGGCTATAGCAGACAATTGAGGCTATCGCGGGCTGCTAGGCTATACGGGCTATAGCAGGCACTTAAAGGTATCGCGGGCTATATAGGCTCTAGTAGTAATTAAGGCTATCGCGGGCTGCTAGGCTATGAGCCTAATAGTATAGCACTATAGCCCGGTCTTAGCTATATAATATATATAGAAATAGAGAAATACATATATAAAAATAGGACTACTTTATTTATATTATTAATAAGACCTTTATATATATATATATATAACCCTTAACTTTAAAGCTAAAACCTTAATTTATTTAAAAGCCTTTCTTTAATTTATATAGCTTTATTATAAATACTTTTATATTAAGTTAAGAAATATTATAGATAATAAAGATAGCGTTAATAATATATATATATTAAGCTTATATCTTAAATATAATTAATAATACTTAAAATAATCTTCTTAACCTTAAATATTTATTACTTTAAATAAGTTAAGGTATAGCTATAATTAAGGTTTAATATAGAGTATCTTTATTTTTATATAACGTGCGTTATCAGCGAGTGGACCATATCAGCGAGTGGACCACTTTTCACCACAGCACGC